CAACTAACCAGTACATTAAAATAGACATCACAGACTGCCCTAACAGGCTCTTTGTGGCAATAAGATACCAAATTCCAGCCTGACTCTGGTACAGCATCACATGACAGAGAGCAGACTCTGAAGGAAATAAAAATATTTTACCCCAAAATATATTTCTTTGACATATTTTGAAATGGCCCTGTAAAGCTGTCTTTTGTGGGGTAAATTTGCATCTATAGAGACACTCTTACCCCTTCCAGGTCTTTCCCAGATCAAGGAGAGATAAGTGAGAATCTGTTATTTTTAAGGGTTGAAAAGAGAGGCTTTGAGCCAGGCACGTGGCTCATGCCTGTAATCCCAGCACTTTGGGCGGCCTAGGCAGGTGGATCACAAGAGGTCAGGAGTTCAAGACCAGTCTGGCCAATATGGTGAAACCCCATCTCTACTAAAAATACAAAAAATTAGCTGGGCATTGTAGTGCATGCCTATAGCCCCAACTACTTGGGAGGCTGAGGTGGGAGAAATCACCTAAACCCAGGAGGCAGAAGCTGCAGTGAGCTGAGATTGAGCCACTGCACTCCAGCCTGGGCAACAGAATGAGACTCCATCTCAAAAAAAAAAACAGAAGAGAGAGACCTTTCTTTTTTGGTCATCAAGTGGTTATTAGACATGAATTTTAAATTGTTAATGTTTAAAATGTAGCCAATTCTTACATCTCCAGAAAATTCTTAAAAGAACACTTTTTCCTAATACCCACACACAAAATGCATCTGTCCTGCTTCACTCCTTTTCCTACCCTAGCTGGTTAAATAGGCTCAAAATTCAAACCTGTCTTAATACTCATCCAAAAAAACACAATTGGAAAGATGACTACACCCCACCACCACCAACAACAAATTACCAATTAACATTTAAAATGCTGAGATTTATTTTACCCCATGTTTTAAAGAACCGAAATCATAAAATCCTATGATTATTTTTTTAAAAAGGCTTATCAACGGTTACTTCACATCTTCTACCTAATAGAAAAGTCCACCCAAAGGTATCACACATGAATTTTTATAAGTAGTAAATAATTACAGAGACTAAAAATAACCTTGAAACTTAGACCAAGGCTAACGGACGATTTCTACCCTGTTTTCAGGCTCAAGAATCCTAAAACGAATTCTAAATTGTGAAATTGGAGTCTGTCCCCAGCCAGAGTAGCAGACTTAATGCACCATTCATCTGTTCTGCTCTCAGCCGCTCACTGAAACAGTCACAGTCATTTGATTTTTAGGGAAAAGACAGTACTGCAAAAGTACATTCCAGAGGTCCTTCCATAAAAACCATCCTGTGTGCTCCATCTGCATGTGCAATCTGCTTGTGTATTTTCAGCCAGCTTGCACGGGCAGATTAATGCGTACAATTAGAAAGCAACCTCACAGGCATTCGATAAACTGCCTTCATTATTACACTCAGGAGAGTCCCTTTGGATGTCAATAAAAGCCTAGTTTTCTGCCTGTTAGCTAAATAATTGACAACACTAAAAATAATCAGAAGCAAATGAACGAAGTCAAGAACAAGGTGTTAAGAAAGAGCACATTAAGATTCTCATGGTGGTGCCCCAGGTCGCTATCATGAGCTTTCTCTCCAGCAACTTGGATTTACAATCCGCTCAAGTCCATGGTTGCCCTCTCTACAGAAAACAGTATCATTCCTGGTCTGCTGTGAGAATCACACATTGCAGCATGGTGAAGCTAGCAAAGTACTGACTGGTTTGAAAGAATTCCTTATGTACGTTTCTATTTTGTATTCCTTCGTTTGACAGTTTCAGGAGAAACTAATTTGGGAGGTGGGGGTAGGCAGTCTGGTTGGTCTGGCAAAACCTTTGATGTTAAAAATCCAAAGAGCTGGCTGGCCGCAATGGCTCACACTTGTAATCCCAGCTCTTTGGGAGGCCAAGGCAAGTGGATCACTGGAGGTCAGGAGTTTGAGACTACCCTGGCCAACATGGTGAAACCCCGTCTCTAGTAAAAATACAAAAATTCACCAGGTATGGTGGCATGTGCTTGTAATCCCAGCTACTTGGGAGGCTGAGGCAGGAGAATCGCTTGAACCCGGGAGGCGGAGGTCGCAGTGAGCCGAGATTGAGCCATTGCACTCCAGCCTGAGCAACAGAGCGAGACTCCGTTTCAAAAAAAAAAAAATCCAAAGAGCTTTCCTAGACTTTTTTTTCCCACCATAAACTGATTCTAAGAAGGTATGACAAAGACTTGTCATATAGAGGATCCATCTTTTCTAAATCTCTTTTATGTTTCTAACTATACAATTGCTGCTTATTTCATGAGCTATTGGTCTTTTAATTTCAAAAGTAATTCAAAACACAATACTCCTTCAAACAAGAACCTCACGCATATACCTCTTCTCGTGTTTCTCAATAGGCTTTAAAAATCAATTTGAGATCCTTCTCGCTTTTAGCCAACCTCTCTTTTTCCTGGTTACCTGGGACTTTTACAACAAGCAGAAGAAAGAGCAAGAGTGAAATGTGCGTGTAATTGAATTCAGCTCCACTGATAGTAGGCCGGGTGGCTGAGGGCAAAGTTTTTTTTTTCTTTACAGAAAAAAGAGTGATTGATCTTCTGTATTTAGTTGTTTTACTAAGACTCAAGAAGCTAGAACTATAAAAGAAAGGAGGTTGGACGCACAACTTCTAAAGTCTTTTAAAACTTCAAGAATCTCTTATCCTTTACTTTGCCGTATTTAGAACTCTCCAGAGAATGAACCCATTCAACTATCCAGTCCTGTGCCCAAGGCCCCTCACTGTTAAGTAGGTCTTCCCTCTTCTGATGTAAAACTAGTATGCCATAGGACAATGACATTTGTTCTCATTTGTGACTCTAGGCTACCAAAGTTGAGAGGTGAAGCCAGCTGGACTTCTGGGTCTGATGGGGACTTGGAGAACTTTTCTGTCTTACCAGAGGATTATAAAATGCACCAATCAGCACTCTGTAGCTAGGACTGTAAAACACACCAATCAGTGCTCTGTGGCCAGCTAGAGGTTTGTAAAATGCTCCAATCAGTGGTCTGTAAAAACACACCCATCAGTGTTCTGTGGCTAGCTAAAGGTTTGTAAAATGCACCAATCAGCACTCTGTAAAATGGACCAATCAGCACCTGTAAAATGGACCAATCAGCAGGACATGGACAGGGACAAATAAGGGAATAAAAATTGGCCACCCCAGCCAGCAGTGGCAACCTGCTTAGGTCCCCTTCCACACTGTGGAAGCTTTGTTCTTTCGCTCTCCACAATAAATCTTGCTGCTGCTCACTCTCTGGGTCTGTGCCACCTTTAAGAGCTGTAACACTCACCACAAAGGTCTGCGGCTTCATTCCTGAAGTGAGCAAGTCCAAGAACCCACCGGAAGGAATCAACTTCGGACACAAAGCCACCAGCCCAGCCCCTAATCTCTCTCACCTCTTCAGGCTGAGTCTTGAAATAAATTCTCATTCATTCTCTACCCATGAGAGGAGAGGCAATGATACATTCACAGCGGTCATCTGGTGCCTTCCTCCCACCATATCTCCGCAAGACAGACAGTTTCTCCTGGTGCTTAGCTCCTTAGTTTCCCACTAGCTCCTCACTCAAATGCCTTCCTTAGAAGAAGAGTGGAGAGAGACAGGCTAAGGATTCTGTGATGAAAATTAGAGTGAGGCTCCTTTTTAGCTGAGGAGGATGACATCACTTACCAACACTTTCATCCTACCCAATCCCATCTCCCATCTATTTTCTGGCCTGGGTAGCAGAAACACAGTATCTAACTTGTTAAGGAGCAAGCAGCGGGTTGAGAAACTTCTCTTCCATTCCTGCCTCTGAATCTTAAAGCAAGAAAGGGCTGCTTATGATAGAGGCAGGATAATTTTAGTGGCGTGAGAAATCAGAGGATACTGTGCTGAGGAGGAGGAATATGTTGGAGGGTGTCACAAATACGCTCACCCCGACATGTGAGTGATCTTAAATTCTGCAAACAAGGAACAACAATGGAGCGAGAGATCAGGAGGCAGGCAGTGAATATTTCATATGACAGTGGAGCGCCCACTACTGGGTCTGGTGGGACCAGAAATTCATGTACAGCCTCCATAAAATAGAAGTTATATGAGCCTACTCAACAAGGGCCTCTGTAAGAAGGATCGTTTCAAGTGCCTGTAATAGGAAGTTTTATGTCATTTACATATTTTATGTAATTCTTGCAAATGGCCTATAAGATAGATACGATCTCTATTTAAGAAAAAAAAAACAAAGAACGCTGACATTCGAAGAGTTTTAGTGGGAGCTAGGACTTTGAACCCAGATCTGCTTGGTTCTATTTCTACCACATTTAGAATTAATGTAGGGCCAGAAATAGGATTCTTTGGTTTTGTCTTTTAATCAGTGTGCAGGTAACCTGGCTACCAAGAGTTAGTACATGAGCGTATCCTTCAAGCCTACATAACAAAGTAGATTGCATTATAAAGCACGTAGTAGTTGCCCCGTATCTATTAGCTGCTGTTGTTCACAAATCATACTGCAAATTACCTTGGTGTATGACCACCAGTGGAGAGTTTTGCCAATAACTACTAAATGACTTCTCAATTCTTGTCTAGAAAAAAATACAGGTGTATAACAGCCCTCAGTCCATTAGATAAATCCCTGGTCAGTTTAGATTCTGCTTAGGCACTTCAGTGCAAACACTCTGTTCCTTATATTGGTATCCTGGAAGTCAACATAAGCAGAAGTACCTTGGATCACCAAAGGATCAAGTCTTCCAAGTCATTTATAATGGAGAATTTCTCAAATTTAGTGTTATTGACTACTCAAGGATACTTTGGTGAGTAGACATGACTCCCACCTTACTTACATGGTGACAGAGTTCAATGACATAATTAATATAACAGCCAATAACCCAATACCAGGTGTTTTGACAAGTGACCATCACCTGAATTTAAAACCTGTATGAACAATCTGCCTATAAAGGCACAAAGTTCTGGAAACATTAACTTACTATTGTTGATGCTCTCTAAATGCTTCTCTCCTAAGGTTTTCTTGAAGTCTTTTTTTCTCCTCCAGTTTATTGCTCTGAAATTGCAAATATCAAAACATAACTTATTAAAGATGCTTTAAGCAGAGCCATGATGCTAAAGTTACCCAAGGTCCAAAATCCTAAGGTTCAAGCAGCCTTGATAGTCTAATACAGTATCCTGCCAGAGGCTCCAAGATGGTATTCCCTGTCAGACCCACGGGCACTGGACTGAAAGCCAGGAGCTCCAAGTTCTTTCCACAGCTCCCCTCTCCCAACTTGATTGGTATAATCACAGAACCAGTATTTTGTGTTTTTATTCTTTAGTTCAAATGATAGCAACATTTATTTTTTAAGCAGTGCTTTCAAAATGTTTTAATGAAAACATGAAATTTCCATACCAAGTATGTTAAAATTATAATAAATGGTTAAATAGCTCATACAAAATTTATATATACACCCAAATTCTACTAAAGTATTCAGGAAGAGATTTTCAATAAGACAACCCAACTCCCTTCTGACTTAGAATCAGATACTTAAAGCTGTTGAGGGACTGAACAGCACATGTCATAAAAGAAGCCATCCACTTGAATAGAAAATAGTTTTTTTTTTTTTTTTTTTAATTAGCTGTTTGGAGAGCCTGGAGATAAAGGGCTTCATATTTGATATTTCTGTCACCATGGCTCTGGCATATTTTAATCCAATTTAAATAACCCAGGAACATTTGCTTTTTGCTCACCATGACACACTGTCATTTTTTAACTTGCTATGACCTATGAAAAACAAGTAAAATTCCTAGACAACAAATTTAATGGGGAGTTGAAACACATTCTACTATCCAGGAGGATCATGAAGTTTTAAATGAATCCAAGAGAGACAGTAAGCAGCTGGATTTACTTTAATAAAAAAATTGGATTTGCCCAGAACAGGACCTGTGAAAGGAGAAAAATGGAAATCATCACTTTCAAGCCCAAACATAAGTCTGGCTCCATCTTTCAAAGACAGGAAAAACCTGCTTGTATTGTTCATTTCCATGAAAGTCTTCATTCACTTAAAACTAATTACTAGTCCCATTTTGAAAGGCAAAATGGATGATTTCGGTTTCAGAAAAAAAACTAAAGGAAATTTACTACAGTCCAAGAGAATCAGTTATAAGGCAAGCAACTGGATTATTAATGAAACACAGAATTCTAGGAGGCAAACTAATGGAAAATTATAAAAGCAAATAAACATGATTCTAGTCTAGGAAAAAATCCTGACTCATGAGCACAAAAGTGTTCAATGGTGATGAGTTCCCTGCCCTCCAGGGTGGGGACTGGGGGGGTTGCGGTGGATCTCAAAGGGTGAAAGACAGCAAACAAGCAGTAAGTGTTGATTAAACCAGTATTCAGAAAGCTACTCAGAGAACAGTGAGAAAGCCACAAAAACAGCTAGAGACAAAAGGCTGGATTCCTTTAGCTAGGTCAGAAATTAAGACCACTGGTTTTAACCTTTTCACTAATAGATTCCAACTCACAGTCACATAGTAGCTAAATTGTATCCAACAAAAGTCTACTTATGGCTGGGCACAGTGACTCATGCCTATAATCCCAGCTCTTTCGGAGGCTGAGGCGGGCAGATCACCTGAGGTCAGGAGTTTGAGACCAGTGTGGCCAACATGGTGAAACCTCATCTCTGCTAAAAATATAAAAATTAGCCAGTCATAGTGGCAGGCACCTGTGATCCAAGCTACTCGGGAGGCTGAGGTAGGAGAATCACTTGAACCCGGGAGGCGGAGGTTGCAGTGAGCCGAGATCAGCCACTGCACTCCAGCCTGGGCGACAAGAACAAAACTTCACCTCAAAAAAAAAAAAAGGCCGGGCTTGGTGGCTCACGCCTGTAATCCCAGCACTGTGGGAGGCCGAGGCGGGCGGATCACAAGGTCAGGAGATCGAGACCATCCTGGCTAACATGGTGAAACCCCGTCTCTAGTAAAAATACAAAAAATTAGCCGGACATGATGGTGGGCGCCTGTAGTCCCAGCTGCTCGGGAGGCTGAGGCAGGAGAATGGCGTGAACGGAGCTTGCAGTGAGCCGAGATAGTGCCACTGCACTCCAGTCTGGGTGACAGAGCAAGAGTCCATCTCAAAAAAAAAAAAAAAGGTCTGTTTATGCCTCAGAAGTTAATAGTTGATGGAGAAGTATTTTGGGGGGGAAAAAAGTAGTAGTAGTAGTATTTCTGGAGTAGTTGAAAAATTATATTCAATCCCTATTCATATCAAATGCCTGTTATATGCTTGGTACCATGTTAGATGCTGGGAATACAGCTACGAACAGAGCAGTGCCCATTCTGGAAAATGTTACAGCCTCGTTGGGGACACAGACAAGAAAGCAATGATGGCAGTGTGCTAAACACATTAGGGGAGAGCAGTCTGCAAATAACATAGTAAGAATGTAGAAAAAGCACTTAAATGGATTGTCAGGAAATGCTTTCAAAAGTTCCACACTCACTCAGTGCCTACTTAGTGTTAGACTCCATCCTGAGCACGAGAGCCAAGAAGTTGAATAACACTGGGAATATGGTTTCTAACTTCCGGTAAGCTGCATGTTACAAGGGTGCGTCCTTCTATGGAGAGTAGACTCACAGCTTTCTTCATATTCCCCAAAGAACTGATGACTAAATAAAAGGATAAATGCCATGGATCTAATGAGAGATAGAAATTCTAAATCCAACCTAATCTTAAGCAAGAGTGTTACAGGAGGAGGAGAAGGTAGGAACAGGGTTACTACACTCCATTATATGGGTTGTTCAGCCCAGGGGGTCCCAGCAGGTGGGAGGGGGGTAGGAAAGGAAAGATAGAGCCACTGTTCACCTCACCAAGATTTGTACTGCAGCATATGGCTGCTTTAGCACAGAGGAGGTATGTTTTTCTGTGTCATACAAAGACACTATCTATCAGCAGTCTGAGCACCCACAGAATTGACTGCCTGAATGCAGAATTGGTCTCTAATTTGCACAAAGACAACCATGGGCTGGTAGTAACCCCGGACAGGAAAGGGGCATTCCCAGAACTTACATTTTTTTTCTTTTTTCTTTGAGGCGGAGTCTCACTCTGCCGCCCAGGCTGGAGTGCAGTGGCGCAATCTCGGCTCACTGCAAGCTCCGCCTCCCAGATTGCCGCCATTCTCCTGTCTCAGGCTCCTGAGTAGCTGGGACTACAGGCGCCCGCCACCGCGCCCGGCTAATTTTTTGTATTTTTAGTAGAGACGGGGTTTCACCGTGGTCTCGATCTCCTGACCTTGTGATCCGCCCGCCTTGGCCTCCCAAAGTGCCCGGATTACAGGCATGAGCCACTGCGCCCAGCCCAGAACTTACATTTTTAATATACAAAGGCACAAGAGAATATGTCAGCTCAAGGAAATCCAAGAAACTCATGGATAAATTGAACAATGTTTATAGAAAGAAGTAGAAGATAAGGTTGAGAAAGTAAGAAGGAATAATTATATAGGAACGTATATGCCAAGCAAAGGAGTATGGACTTTCTGAAACCCAACAGTAAGCCATTATATTAAGCAGGAAAGGAAGTGGCTCACTCTTATAACAACATGGAGGTTAAACTGCAGCAAGGGCCACAAATACACCAGAACCCCTGGGGTGATTCTCACAGTAATCTAGGCCATAAATTATGAGCCCCAAGTTAAGTCAGCAGGTATAGGGGACAGAGAAGAAAGGACAGTCTTGAGAAAAACTTAAGGGACAGAAATAATAGGAAGTATGACGATATGGATATTGGACGAGTAAGAAAAGGAGGAAGAGTCTAAGATTACTATCATTTAAGAGCATCAGAATGAACTTATGAGTTCGATTTTGAATTTATTGGATTTGAGGTATATTTGTGGAATATTTAGGGAGAAATATCAAGCATGCGGTAAAATATATGGTTCTGGAATTTAGAAATATGGTCTGGCCTGAAGATACGGACTGCAGAAATCAGCACAAACAATAACTAAATCCTCAAATGTGGAATTTTTCACCTAAGGAGAGGGGCCTAGGCCCAGCAGTATCAGAGGAGACCAAGGGATGGGATCTGGTAAGCATCAACAGTGGAAAAATGAGTAGAAGAAAAGGTTCCCAGGGACGTTCAGGAGGGTGGAATTTGAAGGACAGAGTACTTATAATCATTAATATTAAATTTTAATTTTATTTGTGTATTTATTTGAGACAGGGTCTTGCTTTATCACCCAGGCTACAGTGCAGTGGTGCCATCTGGGCTCACTGCAATCTCTGCCTCCCAGGTTCAAGTGATTCTCATGCCTCGGCCTTCTGAGTAATTGGGATTATAGGTACGTACCACCACACCTGGCTAATATATGTGTTTTTGTAGAGATGTAGAGATGGAGTCTCGCCATGTTTCCCAGGCTGGTCTTGAACTCCTGGGATTAAGCAATTGGCCTGCCTTGGCTTCCCAAAGTGCTGGGATTGCAGGCATGAGCCACTGCACCCAGTCTTAATATTTAGTTTTACACAAAGCAAAAATAAGTGAGGAATTTAAGAATCTTTCCTGGGTTCTTTTCTTTCTTTCTTTTTAAGAGCCGGGGTTTCACCATGTTGCCCAGGCTGGTCTCAAAGTCCTGGGCTCAAGCAATCCTTCCTTCTTGGCCTCCCACTGTCCTGGGATTATAGGCATGAACCACTCTGCCCAGCTGGATTTTTCAATTAAGAACACCATTGGTGATCTTAGTTAGATTAGAACCAGAGAAGCATTAGAAAGAAAAGCCAAACTCAGCCTACCAACAAATGAGGAATCAGAGAAGGAAAGGAATCAGAGAAGGTAAATTCTTAAGCTAGCTGAGCCATGTATCCCCTGGGGAACTTTTTTTTTTTTAATAGAGATTCTTTGGTTCAGGTGATCGTTAGAGAGTCAGTCCACAGAGTGACATTTGGGAACCAAATGTGGTAGAGGAGTCTTTGAAGAAGTTTGAACCATAATGCTTAGGACAGAGGAGTTGAAAGCAGATCACTACACAGAAAATTTGTTTTTACTGTGAGAGATTTGAGTAAGATTAAATCCTAAGAAAGAAAAACAAAAACAAAACAAACAACAAAACCAGAAAGTGAGAGGAGAAAGGGAGCATAACTGATGGAGAAGCAAGGTCCCTAGGGAGATAGGAGGGAAGATGACGTGGTGAACACAGGTGGAAGAATCTATGGTACCAATGAGGAAAGGGACCTTCTGATTCCTCCTGAGATAGGATGGGGGTAGGTGCAGCAAAGGGAGAGTAAGAAAAGAGAAAAATAAAGATACTTAAGGCCAGTGGCCTTTATTTCCTATGAAGTAAGAGACAAGGTCACGTGCTACAAATGAAAGGAGAGTATAAGAAGAATATAAAGCCAGCAAGAATCTTGGTAATTGGGGTTGGTCCCCAGTTACAATGCAAAGAAAAAAAAATGCTGGGCATTGGGCATTGTGAAAGACCCAGCTGAGAAGAAATCTCAGAAATGCGGTGTGGCAAAAGAAAAAACAAAAGTCACATTTGTTTTTCTCTCCAGCAACCTCATTCATGTGGGTTTAGTAGAAATGAAATAATTGAATCCATCCAATTCATGCATAAAAATAATAATACTCTCTATGCCTCCCTTCCAAGAGGTTGATACAATAGATCCAATGAGATAGTGTTAAAGCACTTCTTTACATTTATAATTAGGTTAGGGAACCTTTACTGAGTGCTCACCAAGTGCTAGGTATCGTGCTAAGATCTTTGCATATATTGTATCCTCTAGTCCTGCCAGTCTCATTATTACATTATTATACCCACTTTACAAATAAGGTAAGTGAAGCACAGAGAAGCTATCAGCCTACACTCTTAGTACCACATCTTTATTTCAGAGATATTAACATTACAACATTATGAAGTTAATTAGTGAGATCCTATTACATTTCAACGACCAAAGGTTTAATGCCTCCACCAATTCATCTACAAAGGAATGCATGATGTAGGAACCACATTTCTTGGAAACACTGATGTTCCCTGAAAGTTTTCAGAAATGGAAATGTTTCCCAGTTTATATAAACAACATTGAAATAATTTCCTCAATGTTGAGTTTACCCCTAAAATTTTTCTTAAACTGGTAGCCCTTGCTACTACTTGCTTCCTAGAAATAAGAAAGCAACAAGTGTAATTCCTTAACATGCACTTGTATGCATCTCTGCATCTAATATGCAGAACTTATTTTCTACCAGTTAATTCCTACTTCACCGTATAGCATTAAAACTAACTGTGCTTCTCAGTGTCTGCATAAAACACTGTGACTTCCAGTGCTTCAAATGACTTTGGCAGCCATAGCTTACTGGAAAGAGCAAGGAAAGGTGTTGGAAGTCACTCAGATCATTAGCTGGTTTCCTGAATTCTCTGAGGTTATGATACCAAGAGGTTGGGGGATCAAATGAAGTACAGTTGGGCCTCCTTATCTATGAATTCCATATCTGCTGACTCAACCAACTTCGGATGGAAAATATTCAGGGGATGAGGAATAGATGGTTGCATCTATACTGAATATGTAACACTATTTTCTTGTCATTATTCCCTAAACAATGCAGTATAACAACTATTTACACAGCATTTACATCATATTAGGTATTATAAATAATCTAGAGATGATTTAAAGTATACAGAAGAAGGTACATAGGCTATTGTAAATACTACTCCATTTTATATAGGATTTTGGTATCCATTGTGTTGAGGGGGGGGTGGGGGAGGCAGCAACCAATCTCCCATATTTAAAGGGTGGCTCTATTTGGAAACTATATAATACTGCATATTATCTCAAACATATGTAGATCAAAAGCAGAGTAAGATGAACCTAGGAAATAGACAGAGTCTTTAGAATGGAGTTAGAAGGTTTCATAGTTTAGGTTTGTGGGTATCACGAAAGTATGGGAAAATAAAATTATTATTTATCATGTGATTATGGGGGGAAAATGTGATTTACTCCCATAGCACTAAATTTGGGTGAAATGCTTGCTGTGGGGAGTTAGGAAAATCTGTCTATTTATGCTGAAAGAACCAGTGGCAAAACACTCGCATCTGGTAGACTGCTTTTTTACTCTAATGCTCTAATGTCTTAGAGACATTGTCTCTGCTTTATAGATTTCTTGGATAAGAAATCAATGCATCATTATAAAACCCCACGAGTAGTATTAGTTTCCTATTTCTGCTGTAATAAATTACCACAAAGTTAACAGCTTAAAACAATATACATTTATTATCTCACAGCTCTGGAGGTCAGAAGTACAAAATGGGTCTCAATGGGCTAAAATCAAGGTGCCAGAAAGGCTGTGTTCCTTCTGGAGGCTCAAAGGAAAATAATCAGTTTCCTGGTCTTTTCCAGCTTCTAGAGGCTACCTACATTCCTGGGCTAATGGCCCCTTCCTGCATCTTCAAAGCCAGCAGTGGTGGGCTGAATCTTTCTCCTGGTATCATCTCTTCTTTCTCTAGCTCCCTCTTCCAATTTTAAGGGCCCCTGTGATTATATTGGGCACCTGGATATTGCAGGATACACGCTCTAAGGTCGGTTGATTAGCAACCCTAATTCCACCTGTGACCTTAATCCCCTTACCCATGTAAGGAAACATGTTCCTAGGTTCCACGGATAGAACGTAGACATCTTGGGGTGGAGCATTATTCTGCCAACTACATGAATTATAATCTATTTTTAAATCAATAAATATCAAACACACAATAGGCCAGCTATTTCCCCAAATCTTTGCTCTCCCTAGCCCTCTGAGACTTGGCTTTAGAATGTGGATGGTAGAAGAGGGTAAGAAAATACCTTTTTCATTTAGTGCTAAGCAGTGGTGTGCTGGTCAACATTTAATCAGGTCTAGCAGGTAGGAGGAGGGGAAATTAATCTGTAGCATTTACTGATTTCCACATCATAAATATTTTCCAGCACAGTCGGTTTTAAGCTGACAATGATGAAGCCAAGTAGCTCAAAAAATCCTGAAAATGTCACAATTCTCACAGTACAAGCCAGTACCAGGAAGCTATAGCACATCACTCGAAGTATATATACTGTGACAGACCCTAGTCTAGGGAATGCAAGTTACATTCCTGAACTGAATACAACTGAAGTATACCAGTGCTGTCTCCAAATTTCCCCTTTTACCCATAGGATTAACTCTTCATGGGCCCGCCTGACATGACTGAATACTAAAGAGCTGGTTGACTTTCACACCTTTCTGACTATGAAGGATCAAAGAACATGCACAAATGCTGGCAAGGAATCCAGTCTACTCTTCCCTCACTAAATGCTGCACACAGAGATGATGACCAATCAGAATGAGACCCAATGCCCCCGACTTCTTTTAGGAGAGAAGGAAATGAAGGCAGAAGGGGACCAGCGGCCAGTAGGGGGAAAGTCAGAGACAAAGCTAGAGGCTCTTGGGCGACAGTGGGCTGCTTGGATTCTACGTGGCTCAGAGTTTTCTGGGCAGCAGCCATTTGCCTAGGGAGGAGGGCAGTGTGTTTACAGGCTGATGTCCGTGTGTGTGTTTGCTGTGCATTTTAAAAAATAAGTGCTCCATAAGCACAGCCATTATCACTTCCCTCAGCCATTTCCACACTGGCAATGTGAAATATCTCATTTCTAGATGGCTAATGTTCATTTTTCTTATCTGACACAAGCTACTAACTAGGCTCACATTTAACATGAAAAGCTACAGATTTATCTACAGCAGGGAAGGCTGGGATCATAGTGACAGTGCAGGCCAATGGGCCGGAGAAATCACACCTGTGGAAGAACAAGGATGGGTCACTCCTTCTTTTGCAAGGTCATTTAAATTAATGCTCCTCGAACTTTTATGTGCACAAGAATTACCTGTGGAGCTTGTTAAAATGCAGATTCTGATTCAGTAGGTCTGAGGTAGGGCTAAAGATTCTGCTCTTTTAACAAACTCCCAGATGATGCCAATGTTGCTTGTTCAAGGGCCATATTTTCAGTGGGAAGGGTCTACAGATCAACTCTCTCTCCCCATCTCTCACATCCTGGCAAGTTTATGCCAATAGAATTACAGTTATCATGTTAGGAAAGGGAAAAAAAAAAAACACCACTTTTAGACAATGTTAAAACAGTTTAGGCCAGGCATGGTGGCTCATTCTGTAATCCCAGCACTTTGGGAGGCCATAGCAGGTGGATCCCTTGAGCCCAAGAGTTCGAGACCAGCCTTGGCAACACTGTGAAACCCTGTCTCTACAAAACACACACACACACACACACACACACACACACACAAAAATAGCTACAGTGGTATTAACCTGTAGTCCCAGCTACTCAGGAGGCTGAGGTGGGAGGATTGTCTGACCCCAGGAGACTGAGGCTACAGTGAGCTGTGATCACACCACTGCACTCCAGCCTAGGCAACAGAGTGAGACCTTGTCTCAAAAAAAAAAAAAAAAAGAAAGAAAGCAGTTTCAACTACACACATTTATGAATAGTGTACACTATTGATCCATGAAGAAATTAGCTGTAAATGACCCACATGCCAGCCAGTTATGGGTATTACATGACAACTAATAAGTGACCTCTAGGACAAGAGGTTGTAATGCAATAATTATTAAGGGTCTGCAAGCATCTTCACCCTATTCCTGGTGATGACTTAATGACTGTCTTTGTTCTACCTGAAATACAGACTATGCTCCATAAAGGGAATACCTCCTCTAAAATCACAAGACCTAAGCATGAATCTTCCTTTGAAGGATAAAATGGAAGGAAAAAAATTGGATGAGGAAAAGAAGGGTGGGGAATAGAAACAGAGAGAGAGAAAAAGATGGGTACATTTTTAAAGTCACTGTAATAAAAATCTTCTACAATGAAACTATAATTGTTGATCAGTAAATGTGAACTAACCCTCCTCCTCCTCACCTTCTCTCTCTGAATTGCCTTCATTTTTTGGAGTTCAGCTTCTTCAGCTTCCTTCTTGATTCTTACAGATTCTTCTCTTTTTAGCTAAATTGTATTGAAATTACAGAGAACGAAAACAGTTACCATTTTTCAGTCTGAACCCTGGAACACAAAATTATGATGAAAGGCAAATTACAGTATTGTTTGTGCTATACCTCACCATGATTATAGGTTGTTACTTCAAGCTACTTAGATCACAGAGAATGGCCGGGCTACATCTTCTGCCTGTGAAATTTCTGTCTTTGTGTTTCTTCCTTGGTCTGTCTCTTTTTCAATGTCTCTGTCTTTATCTATCTCTGTCTCTCTCTCTCTCTCTCTCTGTGTGTGTGTGTGTGTGTGTGTGTGTGTGTGTGTGTGTGTGTGTATTGGGGAGGGAAAAGGGAAAATAATTTTTCCTGATTACAAAAGTCAGTGTTCATTGTAAAAATCGCTGGGAATCTTAAATCTTTTTTGTACTACTTCCATAACTGGCATTCAGTAAACAAATCCACATTCTTAGAACCAAAACATTCCAAACATAGTAGACTTTAAACTATAGTTAAACATAGTTAACTTAAATGAGAAAAATAATTCCCTTAATAGAGGGTCTTACTGAGTGATAAAGGGCTTGGGTAAGAACTGAAGGTGTCCATCTCTTCACTTCTCACTTCGTGATAGCTTTGATTTTGAAAGCTGCTGTTTGCAGTTGGTTGGAAGGTTTTATGCTTTTGGTAAAGTTACTGTGTTATTTCATGGTTACTTGAAAGAGCTGGTACTTATATTCCTTACCAAAATTAAACTAAAAGAGATGAATTCTGACCTTTTGCTGGTATTTAGATTGCATCAGCTGGAGTTGTTGCTTCTGTCTGACTTCAGTTTCTGACTGGCTTCCACCTTAGGAAAAAAAAAATCCACAAAGGTGAAACATAAATATTAAGCTGAAATGTCAGCCATTGAGGACTAATTAATACATAATAAATCTGTAACATGAGTTTCCTTAACATTCTCATGCTCTTGGAAATAAGAACATAACCAGTTTTCCTAATAAGACCTTAAAGAAGAAGAATCACTTAGAAGAGAGAGCTGGATAGAAAGAGGAGGCCACATTTTTAAAACAAAAGAGCACTTCACTAAAGTTTTCCAATCACGTAGGTATTAAAGTTTTCACTTGGATTGAAACCATACCTAAAGGTCTGTGCTAAATAGAAGAAATAATGCCTGTCTTGGAAATTGTAGAATATTCTTCCTGCTTGAATATGACCATGCCTGAACCTAGTAAAGACAGTGATCAAAGGTGCTTCTATTGCTTTTCTTCTTCTAACTCTATTGCTTTATGTTCAAGCAGCAAGGCTCAGGAAGCTCTCAGAGGTCTTGCCACTAGACAAGTATGTAGTCTTTATAACCCAGTTTCTAAAAATACAATGGGAATATTCCAGTTAGTAACTGATCCATACTATTTATTGTTCTTTCCTTATATAGTCAAAATAAAAATGTGATGTGAGATGATTTACTTGCTCTCTCTTAAACCTAAAAGAATTTGAGGCAGCTTGACAATCATCTAAGAATTGCTGTTTAGGGAATCCTCACTGTTTATGCAAGCTCGGTGTGCGTATTATAAAGATTCCTTTGAAATAATTCTCTGGTGCTTTGGTCACTAAAAGTGTCAGTTCTCTGAAAGATTCACTCTCATAGAAGATGCATTAAAACAATTTGTGTTCACTATAGATCTTATAATTGAACTGAGAAAGATACCATAGGGACTTTTCTTCTGAGATCCAAAAGATAGGCCTGTTTGGTGTTGGCCTTTTGACTGCTATTGTGGGGAATGGGGGATGTTTCTTTCAAAACAGTGAGGAATGTTGACGCTTTTCTCTAATGTTACAGCAAGTTTTAGTATCTCCTGCAACCATTCCAATATTGTAAGGGGTACAGAAGTAGAGGAGGAGTTGAAAATTCGAAGAAATGGAGGAAGTCAGATGTTTAAGCATTTACAAGTTTTGTTCAAAACTCATCTCAAAGTTTAATACATTCTAGAATTTTCTTCTCTACCCCCAAGCCCCTCCCACACACACATACCTGATTATCCCTAGATAATGCATATAACAGGAAGTCAAAATGAGAATCCTGCTCATTTTCTACTAAGACTTCAAGACAACAGATGCCAAGCACTTCAAATTCCAAAGTGAGGTAATGGCCCCTCAAAGCAGGATCTGCAAGGAGATAACTGAAACCTACCTTGGGGAACCTTAACTAACTTCACCCTATAAAAGAGGTTGGTCAGGCCAAAGGGAGGCAGAAATCTGAGGAAAGATGTCATTCTGCCTCTCTTCTGTGTTTTGAGGAAGGAGAAATCTTCACATCAGATGAGCAGGAGAGGTTTAATGAAAATCAGCTGGAGACCTCAACCTGCATTTTTAAGAGTCTGAGGGTCCTAGTGGATTCATACCTAGAACAGTTAGAGCCTAAAGGTATAAGGCTGTTGTCAGTTGGCCACTGAAATGAGTCCTCAAGAAGAGGTAGCTACATTATAAATGGCCCGTAGTCACAGTTTATGAAAAGAAAGAATGCACAAGTATTCCCTGTACTTTTAATATTATTCTCATGAAAGAGAATGCCAACATAAAGCCATCTAAAGGGACTTGCCTATGAGGGCCATGTCAAGAACAATGGAACCCTAAAAGGAGTCTACCAAGAGCCAACAGTGAGGCCAAGCCCTGCTGACAGGAAAGGAAATCATATCAGGGAAATCCAGGTGGGAGATGGGTGGCAGAGAGTGGAGGATGCTGAAAAACTCGAAGAATCCCAGGAAGGAGAATGAGCAGTCAGCGCAAACCTAGGCTCAAAGAAACCAGGATCACTGCACTACGAACCCCGACCTCTCTTATCTCCACTTCCCGCTTCAACCCTAGAAAGGTCAGAATCTGGGAACAGAACAGTGAATAGAGAAAAGTCCAGCCACACCCTGTTCCACTTGCTAGATTCCTACCTGAAACAGGCCTGGGTTAGAGCAGGGCAGCAGCTCTCATCTCCATTGGTAACAGAATTTTGATCAGTACCTAAGACTGAACATTAATTACTGAAACGAGACTGTTTTAGGCCTAGAATTAGCTAGGTCACTCTACTGTTTGAGAAAGACCAAAAAGCTTTAATTTCTTACAGCATCCAAAAAGCCTGGGAAAGACTGGTCTCACACAGCCAATCTCAGGGGCCAAGTTAGGAGATATTAAAGCTGTTTTCTGATTGTATCCTTCGAGTCTGGCTCATATGCACAAAGGAGGCACTTGAGATTAGCCCTTTTCATGAAATACAGTGGGATGATGATAATATTACTATTACTTCCTCTCATTAAATAATTTCCAAATTAGATTTTTACCTATGTTCTCATGTTCTTGGCGGGGTGGTGCGGGGGGGCGGGTGAGGGAACTGCTCTAAAACTGTTGCAACAGAAAGTGGCCCCTGACACAAGACTTGCTTGTATTAACTAAATCTGTGGACACTGTGTGTTCAACCCTTTACATTTTCAGCTGCTGCTAGAAGAGAAAAAGCAAAGAAAAGATGTGAATGATTCCCATTAGGTGGCATCCCCTCTGAATGATTCAAACACCAGCAAAGGCGGCCCAGACAATTCATCACACTGGCAGCACCTGCTCCAGAGGCCCAGAGGTCTCTATCTGTGGAATAAAAACACAGGTGATGTTTCTCTTCTACCCACCACCGGGTTTCTAGCTCACTCTCATCTTCCTCTTGGAACTGACTCTCCACTCCTTTTCTTCAGATTAACATTTAACTACCATGATTAATATGCTCGTCCTAGCATTTACTCCCATCCTGACTAGTGCTATGACAGGGCATATGCAGCGCCCCAGGTAAGCTTTCTTCAGAGTCAATCATCTAAGAGGCTCTAAATTATTTGGCAATTAAGCCATCACTGTGTTCCCATAGAACTCTGGCATTACAGGTTTGCTACTTGCAGAAAATCAGGAAAAAAAAATGTATATATATACACACACACACACACACACACACACACACACACACACACAAAACGCATTCCACCCAAGCAGCACAATGACCAAACAAACTACAATGGACATTCACAGACAGACATATGCAAGCTGCTAACAGGATCCATAGGGGGCCCCGCCCTCCCGCATTCAGGCAGTGGCTGTGCTTGCTTACCTAGCCGCCTGGGCACCAGGTGAACTGGTTTAGCTCTGTTCTGCTCCTTCCACTTCTCCAGGTTGGCCAGCTCCTGTTCCGCAACTAAGCCAGGTGAGAAATATCAAATCGTCAGTTACTAGACTTCTAAAAGAAAACCAGTCCCTTCGAAGCATAAGAAACAACTATTAGAAGGCAATTAACTACATATGACCATGAGTGAACAAGACTTCCAGGTTAGAAACACAATATTCAGCCCTGACCCCTATGTGTCACCC